ATCTTTGGTCACATCGTCCTTTTCTTCCGTCGGGGCGTGGGCGCAAATCAGCGATATGTTGAAGAACCTCGCTTTGATGCGGATTGTGGCTAGACGTTCATTCACCGGGCTGAAGGATAGTACTCGGCGACGGAGTCTCTCTCCCACCACGAATCCCACACCAAACTTGCGCTCCTTTATATGGGCACTGTAGTAAATGCCACAAGGACTTACTCGTCTCTGTCCTTGTCCCGTCCATCGCATTTCTTGTACGGCGGTGATGTCAGCCTTTATTTTTACGAGGACATCACCCAGCTAGGCAGCGGCACCTTCCCAATTAAGGGACCGGACATTCCAGGTGCATGCCCTCAATTCGTAGTCCTTATTTCGTTTGCCATGGTCGACTGACGAAAATTTTGTTTCTTTTTAAATTTGTCAAAATTAAAATTTTTCATAAAACAGAACAGTTTGCAAGGATCAAATTGTCACTGACAATGCGTAAAATATCTTTCTTAGGACAGATCTTCAGTGTCATTTTATAAAATAGACATCTGTCAATGAGGCTTATGAAGTGATTAATCAAATTTCAATCAATAGACATTATAAAATACAAAAATATATATTAATAGAATAGGGCTGGCGACAATATTGTATTTAATTTTAAAATCCACAAAATTCTAAGAGATAACATATTTTTATCGAACAACAGTTATCAACATAGCGACAATTTTATTTTTGATTTTAAATTCGTCAAAATTGAAGTGAAATGGAGCAAAACAGTTATCACCTATCGAATGCTGAGAACATGTAAAATATCTGTTTTGACAAAATTGTCAGTCATTTTATGAAATAGCCGGCTGTTTATGTGGCTTAAAATATAAGCAATTAAATTTATGGACGCGATAAAAAGACTTTAACCCAAATTGATAAAGTCTAAAATAAAATTTTTGTGCTAATTATTTAGTGCTCCTTTTTAATATTTAAAAAGGGATATATTTCTAATTTAAGTATATACAATTGATATAGGGTTAAGTAAATTAAAGAGAATGTAACGCTTTATTAAAATTAAATAAAAATGCATTAGGGATATTCTATTGCTTTTGCAAAACCCTTGTACGGTGCACGAATTGCTGATTTTTCCAGCTAATGCAACGGCACAACAACAAACACACGCAGAAAAATATTTGCAAGGGCTGTAAAATGTCAGACCAAAACCCATGTTTATTTTCGTGCAATGACACGCAAAAATATAATTGCAAAAATGTCATTTTACATAAAGACATATTTTGGCGTTAAATTGTTAAAGAAGGTAAATTTTATATAGATTTTATATTTTATATTATTATATTAAAAATTAATGCAGAAGTTGCGCCAATTCACAATAGCCATGCACAACAGTCATTTACAATAAATTGACCGAATCAGCCGTTCATAAACATTCAGCAAGAGAATCCTCCTATTTCATTTATCGCGTTAAATAATATTTTATAGCAACTTATAATTGAAACTAATTAATTATCTGGCAACACTAAGAGAGTTGTATATTATAGCACAAATTCCAAGCATAAAATCAGCTGGCTTGACTACGTCGGCAATAAGGCTTTTTACAAAAGCGTGCAAAACTTGTTTCATGTATGATAACACGTTGAAACTTATGAAGAAACATATATTGATAATGCATTACAATTCTGATATAACTTTCAACATTTACCAACAATTAATTTATTTTCTTAAGGGCTCGTCAACAAGTTATTGCGCCAATTTAGAGGAACTTATTTTTTTAATATAATCAACATCCGACTGCCAGCAATTACCACTGATAAGAAATTCAACTAAATAACAAGCTTATATGAACCACTATGAACGGTTTTTTTGTCACTTAAAAATTGAAGTATATACATACATACTTTGATATAAGAATGTTATATACATAGCAACATATACCATATATATAAGAAATTCTCTTTTATTTACATACTTGAAAGTACAGGTATTTGTGCTTGTCGATGCCAATTGTTCCAACAAAAGCTTTACTGATGTGTGTCAAGTTGAGTTTTTGTATTTATACAATTCATTCGCTACAAAAAAATAACGCGCGAAATATAAATGAGATTGATGATTAATCAACAACTATTTTCAACTTTTTAATGCAAGTGAACGCAAAACACTTAATACTGGAGTAGTTTAACTATCACATCCACATAAACTACTTTGTCTGAATAAAAAAACTTATGTTTGTATAGAAAAAAATTAAGAGCTAAGGCACTATCGTTTATATATTGAACAACATAAATATTAGCACTTTATTCAATATGGTTACTATTGTGAACCTTGGTATGGTTATTTTATAATTTCTTCAACAAGAAGAAAATAGAAACATTAAACAGCTGAATATTCGGCATATGTCTTATACTCTCTTCATTTTCTTTTGTGTGCGATTTTTCAGCAAATCTGTTCTACTTTACGCTAATAGAATCATGTAATTATATTTGCACGGTATTCTTTCTTTGACAAAAATTAAAAATCACACAAAACAACTTTATGTAAAATATACCGCGATTTTATTGTTTTCCACAATGTGGAATCCACATCACTTCATTGAAATTAATTAAGAAAAATTTCTTTTGCCCTGCTCTTCCGAGTTCTGTGTTACCATAGTTTAAGCACAGTACATAGAAGAAAACTTTTTAGGCACAAGTAAATGAAAAGAAATTGTCTGGTAACGCTAAGTAAGCAAAACTCGTACACTTTTCTTTCACAACAAGCCAACAGCAACGACAAACGTCAACAATTGGTAAACAGCGAACACCAACAACCCAAACGAAGCAAGCAACCAACAAGCAACAACTGAAGAGAACACAAGCGCTGCTTCGATTCATATACAAGAGAATGAACGAGTTGCCAGATTACAAAGAAGTAGATATCATTTTTTATTCTAAACTTGGAGATAGCAATTCACTAAATTTAATATACAACGTTTACTCTTATATAAATAAATAAAAAAAAAATAAAAAAATTTTAAGATTATCGATTTAAAGGTAGTAGCTGAAGTATTTATATTTTTGAATCTCTAAACTTTAAAGTTTGTTAAGATGTTTTAGCTTTGAAGTGGATTTTTGGGTTAAATAAAAAGTTTATTAAGTCCGGTAAGAATCAGTAAATTTTCTCTTATTTACAGGGTTGATACTAATGAAGAGTGTTTCAGATTGATTTATATTTGTAATAACAAATTTAGGCAGTAGTTTTAAAATTTAAACTTCCCCTATACCATGGTCCAATTATATAAGATTGTGTCGATATCGAGCGTGCTTCTTCTTACGAAGCAATTCAATTAATTTTATAGTATTCTAAAATTAAAAATAAATAATTTGGAGGAATATGGATATGCAATTCGAAAACCTAGAACGAAATCCTTATCAAAAACCTTCGAAGGAAATGGGAAATTAAGCACATCTGCCAACTTAATATATTCAATAATCTTTTATTTTTATCATGGTGGGTCATTTTTACATAAATAATCCATCGGTTTGGTTATGCACATGATTTTGTTAACATGATAAGAATCACTACTTTGCACGTACGTCTTATCTAAAGTCAGCGCCTAGGGTTTTCGATATCGTCAAAAATATGAATTTGATGGGCATATTGTAAGATTATTGAAAGGTAACATTCTTGCATAGAGGGAAAACGTTTAAGGGGTTATATACAGTTAGGATTTTCAAAAAATCTATTTTTTTTTGCGTTTTCTTAATATACATACATACATATATCAGAGTAAACACACACAAAATTTGAAGTCGATCCGACGAATATTTTCGAAATTATAGACATATTAGTGAAAAAAATTAACTACATGTAAAGTGCTTTCAAAACTTTAAACTCGTTTTTCTCGAAACGGTGTTTTCAAAGTCGGTGAGCAAGATTTCTCAGAAACGGCTGAACCGATCGGTCTAACATTTTTACACAAGCTTCTTAACTATATTTCGAAAATCGAACCTTTTGCTTTTTTGCTAATTCCTTCGATCAATCACTAGATTATTTATTATATTAATGAAATTTATTTGATTTTTGCATTTTAGATGATCCAGTCCAGAGAGAGCAAGGGGCCCTTTTTTGTGGACCTCTGCGAAATTGGCAATATCAACGTTCCCGATAATTATTTTTGGCAGTCAAAAATATGTGAATACAGTTTAAAGTTGCCATAATATACCTGCCAAGTTTCAAGTCAATAAACCAAATAGTTTGCTTAGAAAAAATGCTTGAAAACTTATATAACCCCTTAATGTTTTCAGTGATATTCATTCGTTGCCGCAAAGAAAGTTTTGTTGTAGGCATGAAAGAAATGGCATTTAGAAGAAATATTTTCGCGGTATCAGAAAATTTTAATATTAATGCCTATTTTTATGTTTTCTTTTTGGAAACATCGCATTGCCCAGGTAACGCCAGAGGGTTTTTGAAATTTCAATTTTTCACCTTTTGGGAAGACGAAACGCGAATTTTATGCGAAAAACGAATTAACTTGTTATTGTATAATTAAAAATATTAACAAATTAACTCTTAAAAACAAATTAAACTCTTTCCAGCTTCATCTCGTAAATTACGTATAGAAAGTGTTCATAATTCCAATCGTTGTTGTAGTTTTCCAGTTTTTAGGGAAAGCCAATCGTCTTGAACTATTATGCATTAATTATACACTACAAATGACAGATAATATATAATTAATAATTCTTCAGTTATTGAAACACCGAGTACTGAATGTTTTATAATTTTGTTATATATTTTTCATACAAATAACATTTAAGTCTTTAACCAGAAACATACACATACATACATATGAAGAATGTCAAATGCAATGTCCATAAAAATGCATTTTATTAATGTATAACAATCTTTAAATCATCAATTGAGCTATTTAATGCCCCGAAATTGTGCTCTGCTTAGTTAATGCTACTGGCAATGTTTGCTGCAGTAAGCTCCTTAAATTTTTATAAAATTCAGGAAACTTTCCTTGATTCAAAATAACTTTATGTATTACCGGTAATTAATTAAAAATTTACAAAATTATTTGTCTTTTTGTGGGAAATTGTATAAAATTGAAAGTTAGTAAAAGTTAAATAAATTAAATTTATTAAATATGAGCTAGGAATAAAATATGTATGTATTCCTTCTAAACAATTCGTTGCTTTAATGTGTTTGAGGTAAATACTGGTTAGGGATGATTCATAAAAAGTTATTATTATTACTTTTAACCATATCTACTATTAACATATTGTGACTCTACACTATTTTAGCCTTTAAGGAAGCATTTAATTTAGTTTTATAACAAAACTTAACCTATTGCAAAACCATCTTTTGCAAAAATTTATCTCGTCAACCATTTCGGATCGTTTTATGATATAAAAATGTAGAAGAAAACATAAACTTCTTTATGCTTTTTGATTTATCAATTGCACATAATTTGCTGGAAACAGTCCATAACGATTTTTGCACAAACCGCGCCACCAGCCTTCATCGATCTGCAATAGCAAGACTTAAAAACCTATTCAAAAACTTTAGTAACTATATTTACCATTTCGATATGGGTAATTGTATCATCGGGGTCGAAGGATATTTCATCGTCGTCGGCAGCTTGATAGTCATACAGTGCAATCGCATGAATGCCTGTATCTTCGATGTAATCAGCTAAATTATCGGAATTAGAATAAATTGCTTCATCGGTGGTGGCAACAGCAGTAGGAGCAGCTGAGTTGGCCACTGCATTGTCGAGTGCAGCACCTTCGTTTTCTTTTTTCTCTTCCACTTGTGATTGTTGTTGCGAACTTTGTTGTAGTTGTTGAACCGATTTTTGTTGTACATGCTGCTGCTGTTGTTTTTGTTCGATGGTTTCTCTATTCTCGTAAACCGGTTCTTGCGTTGGGCATTCTGGTGACGATAATTGTGGTGGTGTTATTGCAGTCTCTATTTCAATAGATGGTATGACATCAGGTGGTGGTGCAGTTATTGTGACATTTTTCTTAACATCCTCCATAATTGGTTGACTTTGTTGTTTGTCATCTATTTCGTTTACTATTTCAACCGGTTGAGTTTTAGGTATGATTACGGCTTCTTTACGTACTGCTGGAGGATTCTCTGTTGTCGGCGATTGCATTTGATTGAATGCACTTATAGCATTACTGATACCACCTTCGCGACCAGTCGAAATCGATGAACGACTTCCTTTTGGTGGTGGAGCTCGTGCTTCTTCAGCTGCTGGTAATGGTGTATTTTCAATAACAGTTTTTTTGGCTGCCTCTTCACGATCACGACGATCTTTCTCTTCGCGCAAACGTTTTTGCTCTTCAGCCCTTTTACGCGTTTCTTCTTCGGAATTTTTGGCCAAGTTTTCAAATTTCGCACGCAAGTTGGACGGTTTCGCACCTTCAATGTTAGGTTTTACCTTAGTGTATGTGGTTCCCACCTGTTGCTTTTCGTTATCATCAAAACCAGCAGCTGATTTATCCATGCGATCTCTTTGGACACCAAATTTTCCACCAAAACCCTATAATATAGCAAATTTTATTATTTTGCTATAAAAATAATATTTAGTTATATAACAAACCACTTTGTGATCAATTTGACTCTCATGCTTTTGTGGTGCTTCTTTATGGTCCCAACCCATGGCAGATTTGTCTTTGCGATCTTCCTGTATACCAAATTTGCCACCGAATCCTTTTGAATAATCTAAAATACAGAGAAAATTTCTAATAATGAAATTATTTTACTATTGCAATTTTTGTGTTTTACCTTTCTGTGATTCATGTTTTTCAACCTTCTCAACGTGATCCCATCCAAGAGCCGATTTATCTACCCTGTCGGATTGAACGCCAAATTTGCCACCAAATCCAGTCGCATAGTCTTTCTGAGAGGCATGTTTTTCAACTTTTTCAATATGATCCCAACCTGCTGCCGACTTGTCTACGCGGTCTTTTTGAACGCCAAATTTGCCACCAAAACCCTCGCTGTAGTCCTTTTGCGAAGCATGTTTCTCAACTGTTGCGCGGTAATCATGTCCGACTGCTGATTTATCCATGCGATCGCTTTGCACACCAAACTTTCCACCATAGCCGTAACCTGGATTTTGCTCTTCTAATTCTTTCTTCTTCTTATCTTGATCAGCTTTTTCTGTTTCAAAACGCAATTTTTCCATGCTTCATACATATATATTGGCATCAATTATAAGGGTGAATCATTGTATTATGTTACATTACGTGTAATAAATGAGTAATCAAATATACTTACTCGATAGCACCGGCTGTACGTCCGCTTCCCTCGACGGTCTTTGATCCCCATCGTTGCTCTTGTTCACTGACATCGTTTACGAAATCTGGATCCGTCTCCCAATCATCATCAGCGTCTGGTTGAGTGTTTTGGAGTTGCAGACCAGCTGTTGCTTTCCACATTTTCCTTATAATTTGCTGCGAAAAACGAAAAGGGTCTTTATCAATTTGTTAAGCGTATATGTTCACTAATAAAAAAGATAAGGTTACAATCAAACTTGTTTCGTATTCTTTATCTATAGGGAGTGGTCAGCCGGTTTCTTTTTAATAGTTCACTACGGCTGATTTGTGATATTTGATTGCTTGCAATTTCTATAATTTTTTAAATATGTATTACTAATTTGCTTCACTTTATTTCCAGTTTTTAACTACTGGTTCTACTAATAATCAGAAAATTTTATTCTTACTTCAAAGAATCTCTTTTGTAAATGTAGCAAATGCTTCTTCTTTGTTAAGCCAGGAACTCACAGTTAATATAAAATAAAAAGCACAATATTATTTAATATTACCCAGACACCATATTAACCACAATTCAATATTATTAAATGTATAGTACTTATTAATTGATATAATTAATAACTTACCAGAAACGAGCATTAATGTGTATCAAACATTTAAGATATTCTGTCGAAATCAATAAATAGTTGATTATCTGTAAACGATAAATAGAGCTTCTGTTTTGTCGTTTTATAAAAATTCAATGAAGTTTATATGGAAGCTGTCAGGAAATAAGAACTTTTGTGAACAGACTCCAACGATAAATTTCGATATACTTCGCCATATTGACAAATCGAAGAGGAACGGAACATAACTTCCGTTGCATGATGGCGACACTCGTCTATTTCTTTTCGTGCGGTTCTTTAACATGACTGGTTTGTCGAACAGGGTAAGTGACGTTTTTTTCATGAAAATGCCGAATAAATGCATTAAAAGTTATTGGAAATGTGAGCAAAATGTACAATACGTCGTAAAATTTCCGAAAACACCAAATTTATGTGGGAAAGTGAACTGTAAAGTGATAAAAAGTTAGCTAAATTCTTGTGTCCAATCGAATTTAATGGCACACGTGCCCATTTCATTTGGTGGATAAGGTCTAAAGAACAGTGAAAATATTGGCAATATTTTCGAATATATGAACACGTATTGCATATTATGTGTTTACTTATAATTTTTTTTATAATGAAATGTGTGTAAGCCACCGTTTTTGTTGTCATTTGTATCATAACCTAGATTTCTTTAGAACAGAAATTTGATTAAGACTTCGTTTTTTATATTTGCAGGCCGTTGTTATTGATGGTCGTGGCCATCTGGTTGGCCGTTTGGCCTCCGTTGTTGCCAAATACCTTCTTCAAGGAGGTAAAGTGGCAGTTGTACGTTGCGAGGAATTGAACCTATCTGGCCATTTCTACAGAAATAAAATTAAGTACTTGGCGTATTTGCGCAAACGCTGTAACGTAAATCCTGCTCGTGGTCCATATCACTTCCGTGCTCCATCAAGAATTTTCTTCAAAGCTGTACGAGGTAAGTTTCTATAATGTTTTATTAATAAAAATTTAGTTAATGATGACTTAATTTTCTTACCTACATTATTTGAAATACAAATGTAACAATCAAATAGTAACTGATTAATAGTGCATCAATGCAATTATGACTTGTTTTAAGCGGTCATTAATAAATGTATTTCTTTACTTTCAGGTACGTAATGAAATTCATCTTATAAGTAGCTCTAAAACGGCAGTGATGAACAATATATCTTACCTACATTATTTGAAACAGAAAATGTAACAAAATCTTTAACTGACGCACCTACTTAAATTATATTTGCAATATCTATATAAACAAATTTATGATTAAGACAAACGACTTTGTTGCAGGCATGATTCCACACAAAACTAAGCGTGGTCAAGCTGCACTTGCCCGTCTCCGCGTTTTCGATGGCATTCCACCACCATACGACAAGCGTCGTCGTGTCTGTGTACCAATCGCCATGCGTGTCCTCACTCTGCGTTCTGACCGCAAATACTGCCAAGTCGGACGTTTGTCAAGCGAAGTCGGCTGGCACTACCAAGATGTCGTTAAGAGTCTGGAAAGGAAACGCAAGGCTAAGTTGCGTGTCACTTTGAAACACAACAGAATCATGAAGAAGTTGACTGTTAAGGCTCGCGAAAACATTGCGAAGGTAGCGGAACCTTTCAACAAAATCATTAAATCTTACGGATACGAAGTTTAAATTACGTACCCCTAAGTTTGTTTAAAATGATAAGAATTCATTTTTTAATAAAAAGAATAACATAAGTAAAATTATATTGCTATTTAACTTCTTAATAATTGCAGTTCAAGGTGTTAGGCAGCCCGATTTTTTTTTTATTTGTAGAGAATGTATTGGAAGAAGAAAGTAACCTGTAAACTATTATAGTTTCGCAGTGTTGACAATAAAACAATCCTGAAATTATAAATTGTCTTGAATAAGGTGACGAACAGAATAAATTTGACTGCACATTATTCATACAACAAAGACAAATTCGGCATGTTGTAGCTAACTGCACTTCAAAACGCACGTACTACCTTGAAAATTTTTATTTACTTTATATACAGACATATGTTAATAAATACATATAAAATATGTAAATGTAATTATTAATATTAGTTAGCATATGTATGTTTCCGAGGTATCGCATATTTATTGAAGTCACTCCATTGTTTTTTTTTTTTATCTGGGGCACATAGCATGTCTGCCTCCGTCAACTGGCATATTCATGCCGGTAGTAAATGTGGCTAAGTCACTGGCCAAAAAGCAAATGGCATTGGCCACTTCTTCCACATCTCCAGCCCGTCCAAGTGCATGAGTGATTTTGCAGTGCTCCAAAAATTTTTCATAAGCATCGTCGTTCATGCCACCACTTTTGTGCAAGTTGGTGACTACGACACCCGGATTAACTGAGTTGCACCGCACTCCTTTCGATGCAAGCTCTAAAGCCACACAACGTGTAAATTGATCAATAGCCGATTTCGATATATTGTAAGCCAATACATTGGGAAATGCTCGTAGACCACAAACGCTGGATACATTAACAATATTGCCTTTTGTTTTGATTAGCTCAGGTACGGCGAGCATAGTCAGCTGATACACAGAGCGCACATTTGTGTCCATCATTCTATCGAATTGAGCAAGGCTTGTATTCTCAATTGTGCCATTTTCAATAATTCCGGCATTGTTGACCAACACGTCAAGTTGTCCGTAACGTTCCAACACTTCACTTATAATATTTGGCACAGCCGATTCGTCTGTCAGATTGACCTTTATCAATAATGGAGTCAATGAGTCCTCTCCGACATTTCCACACTTAGCTGCTGTTTCTTTAAGATTTTGCACATTTCGTCCAACCAATGCCAGCTTGGCACCAAATTTAGCGAATTTCACTGCAGCAGCAGCACCAATTCCAGAACTGGCTCCCGTTATTAGCACAACTTTGCCCTTGAAATCCATTCTACTGTTATATACTCGATTGGGAAAATTCAAATCAGATAATAATCAAAACGCTTAAGTATTTAAGTACTATTGCCTGTTATCAGAAACACTGTTGCTCCACAATTTATTCTGCGATTCATGAACACAAATCAAAAAGGTGATAAGCAGAGATGTTAGCTATTGTTGTTGCCCAATTTCGTTTAAGTATATTTTCTGTTTGTTGATGATCGACGTTGCAGCTTAATTGTTTTCACATTGCTCCCACATCAATTTTCCGAAATTTAGCGCGGTGTCATAGCGTGTCTCCCACCGTCTACTGGTATATTGTGACCAGTGATGAAACTGGCCAAATCACTTGCTAGAAAGCATATTACATTCGCCACTTCAATTGGTTGACCATAGCGTGCTAAAGCGTGTGTATATTTTGCTTTTTTAAGAAATTCCTTGTAACCATTCTCATCCAAATATCGCTTTTGTAAATTAGTATATATAACTCCAGGATTTACACAATTACAACGCACACCGCGTTCGCCAAGCTCCAGCGCTACGCAGCGGGTGAATTGATCTACACCCGCTTTAGATATATTGTAGGCCAGCGTGTTAGGAAATGAACGCATGCCGCATATACTCGATGTGTTCACAATGTTACCCTTTGTTTTCAATAATTCCGGTACCAACAGTAATGATAAATAAAATTGGGAACGTAAATTTGTGTGTATCATGCGATCAAACTGCTCCAGGCATGTGGTTTCAATGGTACCATCCTCCATAATACCGGCATTATTTGCCAGCACATCCAGTTTTTTATATTTTTTAATTGTTGACTTAGCAATGCATTCCAAATCATCCGACTTGCTAACGTCCCCGACTATTTGAAGTGGTTCTCCTTGATCTTTTGACTTGGCATATTTTATGCAATTCTCAGCTGTCTTTTTAAGTCCCTCAGCGTTCAGATCAACAATGGCTAGCTTAGCGCCAAGCTCCGAAAAACGAACTGCAGTAGCAGCGCCAATTCCTGATGCGGCGCCAGTTAGCAGCACAACCTTGTTGGTGAAGTTCATATATGTACATATATGTATATTTCAAATTTGTATTTAAAAAATTTATCTTTTACAATTTTTTTGAACTTTTTAATTTTGAATAAATAATATAATATAAAAAAGATATTTAAAGCCAAATATACTTATTTGTCACTTTGTAAATGTAATCCTCAGTAGAGATGGTCCTATCTTCATTAAAAGTGAAATATTTGTTGCTCATAGGGTCATAAAGTAAATTTGTTTTATTAATTATAATAGTGTCCACTTAAATTATTACATTTTCTTAATTCTTATATCCTAAAGTGGGTGTTTGTAACACCCAGAAGGAAACATCGGAAACCCTAAAACACCAAACATAACCAAGGACCCTGGAGCAAATTCAAAAATGGGGTCCCACTGCTATGTAAAATGATTAGGATTTATCAAATAAAAGTATGAAATACTTGCCCAGAGCACCACCAAGGCCCCCCGAAACACGCCCAGTCACTCAGACTCCTGTGAACCTCATCGGGCAGAGGCCGGTGGTGCACGCAGGAGAAGATGGAGGCGCAGGAGGGGAGGGCAGAGATCTCTCCCAACAGCCGACAAACCAGGCAAGTGCGATGACCCTCGTAAAAAGGCCGAGCGGCAGCGGGCCCAAGCAGGACACAACGGTGGCTAGCAAGGTGGTGGAGAGGATGCAGGTGGACGCCGTGGTAAAACAACCGGGCGTGAGCGCAGAGCTGACTACGCTAGTCGCAACAGCTGACGTCCCGGCTGCCCAGGAAGCCGGGCTACCCTCCACCCAGGAGGACAGCAGTGCGTACGACGGAGGAGATGTGGACATGCCCCCCTTCGAGCCAATATGGCCGTCGACGTGGAAGTTGCCCAAGTGAACTTGCATCATAGCGAGCAGGTTCACACCGGATAAGTTGGACTTCCTGCTGATCCAAGAACCTTGGGTATACAAAGGTGAGGTCAAAGGCCTCAAGACGGTACACAACAAGGTAATCTGGGACCTCTTTAGTGAGCGTCCAAGAGCATGCATAGTAGTCAGGAATAATGTCGACTTTTTCTGTATTTCAGAGTTCCTGACGCAGGACTTGGTGGCGGTACAGGCCAGAGACTGGGAAGGCAGAGACTTCGTCCTGGCATCAGCCTACTTCCCAGGGGAGGCAGCTGTAGCCTGAAGTGGTGGTAAGGCTAGTGGAGTACTGCAAGAAGCACAGGCTACCCCTCGTTATCGGATGCGACGTGAACGCTCACCATGTTGAATGGGGAAGCACGGACTGCAACACAAGACTCTATTAGAATATGTACTAGGTAGTGACTTAGCTGTGAAAATGTGGGTTGCGAACCCACCTTTATAACTATAAGCAGGAGGGAGGTGCTGGACATCACCTTCAGCAACGAGCACGAAAATGGTTGGGTCTCAAGGTGGAGGGTCTCAACGGAGCCCTCCCTGTCGGACCACAGAATTGTAAGGTTCACACTGAAGGTTGAGGTCAGGCAACTTCCCCCAAGGCGCAACCCTCGAAGGACAAACTGCCTTCAGGGTAATGCTGCAGGATGAACTAAATAGGGAGAGGCTGWCCGATGATAGCGTTACGGGCCCGGGAATAGAAAGCAGAGTGCTGGCACTGAACGGGTCTATCACTAACGCTTACAACGGTAGCTGCCCCCTAACAGTGCCCACAGATAGGCGCAACTGTCCCTGGTGGACAAAGAAGCTTGCAGAGCTCAGGAAGAGAGTACGTAGCCTATTCAACAAGGCAAAACGTACAGGGGTCTGGGAAGAATACAGGAGCTACCTAACCCTCTACATTAAGGAGATTAGGTCAGCAAAACAAACGAACTTTAGGAGTTTCTGTGAAAAGGTCTCCTCCACACCAGAAGCGGCGCGGCTGCACAAGGCTCTGGCTAGTGGGAAGATTAACACGTAGCTAGCCATCGAAAGAAGTGACGGGACCTTTACGACTAGGACAGGGCGACAGAGCTTCTGAGTGCTCACTTCCCGGAGACCATCCAGGTGGACCAATGYCTACCTGTGAGAGAACATAGGCCATCCCGCTTGGATTGGGTAACCGCTAGGCAGATAGTCACTGCGGACTCGATCAAGTGGGCAATGGCCTCGTTCGAAAAATTCAAGTCTCCAGGGGTGGACGGCATCTTCCCAACGCTTTTGCAGCAGGGTGAACAGCCTCTGCTACCTCACCTTGTTCGGCTGCTGAGGGAGAGCCTTGCAATCGCGTACATCCCTGACCAATGGAGAACGGCTGAGGTGATCTTCATACCCAAAGTAGGAAGAAGGGACTATTCCTTGGCCAAGTCCTACAGGCCGATTAGTCTAACCTCCTTCCTACTGAAGACTATAGAAAAGATCATAGACCACAATATAAGATCGACGGCGCTGAAGAGTGCACCCCTGCATGCTGCTCAGCATACATACAGAGCGGGAAGATCCACCAGTACGGCTCTGTACTTGCTGACCTCGGAGATAGAGAGTTCACTGCAGAAAGGGGAGGTGATGTTATGTGCCTTCTTAGACATCGAAGGTGCCTTCGACAATACATCTCATAAGATTGTAGCCAGGGCGATGGAAAGAAGAAATGTGGCAGCAGCGGTGCGCAGATGGATAGAGGCCGTGCTGCGCACCAGGGTCGCCGAGACCACGGTAGGCGGAACACAGATCCGCCTGGGAGCGACAAGAGGCTGTCCACAGGGAGGTGTGCTATCACCTCTACTATGGAGCCTTGTCGTGGACGAACTATTAGCATTGCTAACTGACAATGGGATCCGCTGCCAAGGGTAYGYGG